AGATTTAACATTGTCAAAGCTGGACTCCTTGAAACTTCAAACATGCTGGCAGATAGCCCGTAAATTGGGAGTGCCATACGACAGATATTACACAGCCAATACCGTTAAGGGCAATAATTAGAAACAAATTGTTTCCACGGGCCTCTAACTATCATGTAGCAGGAGATTCTGACTCTGAAAGTTTAGTTTCTCAAGTAAGCTACCAGTCGAAAATCGAAGTATTAGAAGAACAATTTCAAAGAGTTGATCTTGAAAGTGAATCAGACAGATTAAGACCCGCTTTGGCCTCTAGTAAAGAAGATGAAGTACTGCAGGGTGCAGCCGCTGTTCGGCATTCGCCCGTTACTGAAGGAATTCCTATTAATGGTCAGCCTGGCCCTCACCAAGGTGCACGTCCAAAGGAATATCCACATACCGCCAGTTCAATTCCCTCATTTTCGATACCATCGGGGCATATTTCTCAAAGTCAGTTTGAGAAATTAGAGAGACTATTTATTTTACAGACTGCTCAAATTGAGGCTCAGCGTAAATTAAATGAAGAAGACTTTCAAAGGGAAACGCTCCGCTATATAAGACAACAACAACAAGATAAAGTGAGTGAAAGATGTACTGAATCCTCAAATGATTCTTTCAATATACAAAAAGCTGCATCTATGGTTCCAAGATTTAATGAAGGAGATTTAGATACTTATTTTGAAGTCTTTGAGAATCAAGCACGTGCTATGAGCTGGCCCCGACAACACTGGGCAACCTTATTACATACTTCGTTGTCTGGTAAAGCTCAAAGTTGTACGGCTACGTTACCTTTTGAGAAATATGTGGATTATGATTCCGTTAAGAAGGCTATCCTAAAGGCTTATGATCTCCTCCCAGTAAGTTATCAAAAAACCTTTAGAGCATTAAAACGCCAGCCAACTCAGTCGTATGTAGATTTTGCACGTGAAAAGAAAATCGCTTTTGAGAGATGGTGTAGCGCTTCTAACTGTAAATCTATGGAAAGTCTTTCCCAATTGATCCTGCATGAGGATTTCTATAATAATTTACCAGAAGACTTGCATAGGTATTTGATTAGTTGCCCCATAGTAAATATACTAGAAACAGCCTCTCTCGCCGATAATTATGAAATATCTCAACAATTGATTGGCGAAACAAAAAGTAAGGAAACAGTGACTAAATATGCCCCTAAGAAAGGACGATCCAATATTACAGAGATGCGTCGCATACAGAATCCTTACCAGACCTCCTATGATGCCTCCACTAATAAATTTAGATCTAACTCTAGGAAAAGTTCAAAACCACTAAGGCATAACAGTGAGTTGAACTGCACTTACTGTAATAAGAAAGGGCATGTAAGGAAATACTGTTATTGGCTAGAGAGGGATACCAGGAACGAGCGACTTCGTTTCCCAACTCAGATAATATCTTCATCGACAACTCAAAAGAAACTGAACCCTAGTACCGAACAAGGTTCACAAGAACGAATCAGTAGTCATTCCAGATGACTAAATACTAGAGCTGTTTCAGAAAAAGAAATTCACTCAGCTATGAGTCCCTACTTTGCTAAAGTGAAAGTTGGAATAGACGAGACTCAATTAGTTGAAATTAATTCCTTCCGTGATACTGGAAGTTATTTAACATTGTTGAAGCAGGACATACTTCCCGTAAGTGATATGACTCGCACAAAGCTAGATGTCTTATTAGAAGCCTATGGAGGCGCCATTATAAGAGTGCCTCTTCACAGGATATACATCCAAACACCAACCTATACTGGCTTTGTGTCGGTAGGTATATCCAGTGAAACTTTTCCTATTCAGGGCGTTGACTTACTCATAGGAAATGATCTAGACTATCCAGGTATAAGCCGAGAGCCTCTAGTTATTGATAATTCTACTGACATTAACTATGCCATAGAAGCTCGAAAAGAGGCTCCTACCTTATTTCCTCTCAATGTTATAACTAGAGCAATGTTTAGAGCGCCTAAAAATCCTTTATCAACTGAAGTCCTAAGTGAAGGCGAAGATTTAGGTCTCGATTTATTGTTCAGCCGATCCTTACAACCCGGATCTTCAAATCTGAAATATTCTATGATCGGACCTTTTCAAGATTCTGATATTAAAATGCTATCGAAAGAAGATTTAATAAGGGATCAATTCCTTGATCCATCCCTAGAGAAATTACGAGAGATAGCTATTACAGAAGACGACGCCCAAGACCTGGAAAATTGTTACTACCTTGCTAACGGTATATTAATGAGAAAGGAAAAGTCTCTTTTGTCTTCCGACGATCATCTGGCTACCAGCAAACATCTAGTAGTGCTACCTAGCACCTTTAGAGAATTGGCTATTAGTTTCGCCCACCATAGTCCCATGGGAGGACATTTGGGAGTAAAGAAAACGCTGGGCAAAATAGCCAAGCATTTTAATTGGCCCAGAATGAAGGAGACTGTGGAAAGCTATCTAAAAGGTTGTCAAGTCTGCCAAGTGACCGGCAAACCTTCGCACACACCTCCACCAGTTCCCCTCATTCCAATTCCCGTCAGTGGTGAGCCCTTCTCACGCCTGATAATAGATTGTGTTGGTCCGTTACCCAAGACTAAACAAGGGAATCAATATCTGTTTACAATTATGGATGTCGTTACTCGATATCCAGAGGCTATCCCTTTGAGAAAAATTAATTCTCGCATCATTGTTCGAGCTTTGCATAAATTTTTCTCACAGGTGGGGATTCCCCGAATAATTCAATCCGATCAAGGTTCAAACTTTACCTCTAAGATGTTTCGTGATGCCTTGTCACGCCTCGGAATTAAGTCCGTATTTTCTGTTGCTTATCACCCTCAGTCGCAAGGAGCCCTCGAACGATTTCATCAAACATTAAAATCAATGATGAGAGCGTACTGCGAGCAGTTTTCCAGAGATTGGGACGAAGGAATACCATTCCTCTTGTTCGCCTTAAGGGAAAGCGAACAAGAAAGCACTGGGTTCAGTCCATTTGAATTAATTTATGGACACCAAGTACGCGGCCCCCTCGCCGTACTAAAAGATTCATGGACAGGAAAATCAGAACCCTCGCTTAAACAACTCCCAAATCTAATGCAAAAGCGTTTGTCAAAAACTGAGGGAATTAGCCTCAAAAACTTAGCTAAGGCCCAATCCAAGATGAAGCATTGTTATGACAAACACACACGCTCTCGTTTCTTCAAACCAGGTGACAGCGTGATGGCACAGAAATTCTTACCTGGACACGCTCTGCAACCTAGATACGAAGGTCCTTTAGAAGTGATTGAGCGGCTCAATGAGGTAAATTATGTACTACAAACTCCAGGAAAGAGAAAAGCCAAACGTACTTATCACATAAACCAACTTAAGGCTTACCACCCTAGTATCATACCAGTTTCGACAGTTCTTCCTTTAGCCGAAACTGAAAATGTAAGTCTGCCCAGCATCTCTAAAGCGATAGAAGTACGTTTAAAAAATTCAGAGACATTGCAATCTCTTGATACCTTTCTTATGGACCTTGATTTGAAGAAAGCCAAAGATATCAAAGACTTGATATTACGTTATGAGGTTTTATTCGATGACGTCCCTAGGTGTTGTACATTGGGAATTCACGACATAGATGTACAAGGAGCAAAGCCTTGCAAACAGTCACCTTATAGGGCAAGTCCACTCAAACAAGAAACGTTAAACAAAGAAGTAGAATTTTTGTTGTCCCATGGACTCATAGAACGGAGTAAAAGTCCGTGGGCCTCGCCCTGTATATTAGTTCCCAAGCCTGATGGAACTTCTAGAATGTGCACTGATTATCGTAAGGTTAATGCTCTCACGGTACCAGATGGTTTCCCACTACCCCGTATTGATGATCTAATAGACAGAGTATCAGGAGCCGCCTATGTCACCCGCCTGGATTTATTAAGGGGCTATTACCAAGTGCCGCTTACCCAGCGAGCCCAAGAAATATCAGCATTTACTATACAAGGCGGATTATTCAATTATCGTGTTATGCCCTTCGGGTTGTGTAACGCGGCCTCTACCTTTCAGCGCCTGATGAACCTGCTGACCAATGATTTAGAAGGAGTGGATGCATATCTAGATGATCTTGTTATATATAGCAATGAGTGGGAGAGCAACATTTAATTCGCCTGGAAACCTTATTTAAGAAGTTAGAAAAGTACAACTTCACCAGAAATTTAGCCAAGTGTCAGTTTGGACAAGCCAAGATTAAATACCTCGGTTTTTGTATAGGTCAGGGTGAGGTATGTCCTGTTGATGTAAAAGTTAGGGCCATTGCCGAGTTTCCTATCCCTCAAGATAGAAAGTCTATACAGAGGTTCCTTGGAATGACTGGTTATTATCGACGTTTCTGTCCTAATTTTTCTCAGGTTGCATCTCCTCTTACTGAGTTAACCAGTAGTAAGATGAAGTTTTGCTGGACGAAAGATTGTGAGATAGCTTTTAATCGGTTGAAGCGGTTGCTTTCTTTGTCACCCGTATTGAAAAGTCCTGACTTTAATCAACCCTTCTATTTACACATCGATGCCAGCGGTTATGCTGTGGGGGCGGTGTTACTTCAGAAATCCCCCTCTACTGATATTTTGCATCCTATATCTTATTTTTCTTCAAAGTTGAAACGTCACCAAAAGAATTACGCCACTGTAGAGAAAGAAGCTCTTGCCCTAGTAATATCTTTGGAACATTTTGACATTTATCTGGGAACCTCCCCCCATAAAATTATGGTATTTTCTGATCACAACCCTTTAATTTATATTAATTCTATGAAATCAAAGAACACCCGAATCCTCAGGTGGGCTCTGAGGATCCAACCTTATCTGATTAGTATTCAACACTTAAGTGGATCCCTTAACATAATTGCTGATACCCTTTCTCGCCCTTGAAAAAAAAAATGTATACCTTAAAATGTAAAGTAAAGTAATGAGTACTCTCAGAGCCTAATTTATATATATATTATATATTTTTGTTAATGATTTTCTTTTATATTGACAGTATGACTATGAAAGCCGTTTCGTTGATGGGACGAAGTATTAAGTACACATGGATGACCCTGACAGTCATGTCCGAGACTCCCATTCTCGAATTGTGATGGAAGCCACTCCAGATAGTTCTTCTGGCCATTGTTCCAAAAGCTCATCCTCTGGCAAATAACCATGCTGTTTGAGTTCTTGCTTCTCCATTCTTCCGTCGTACTACTTGCCTTATTTACCAAGAGGACGCTTACTATAAAGGAGATATTACCAAGGACGCTGGCAAACTCCCTACTGTGACCTATTGTCGTACGGGGGGGGAGTGTTATATCTTCGAAATTGGTCATCCTGTGTTATTTAAATATTGTAAGAGCATGTGTTCATCACTTAATATTATAGCGCGAAAGTCCCCGTTTATAGCTAAAATAGAGACTTTCGGCGTTATATTATTATCTGTTAATATATGAAAAATACCATGGTATTATCACTATTATCGTTATTATCGCTATTTGTTATTATCACTATTTTGTAATTATCACTATTATTTTAGTATTATTGTTAGGTAGGATATCTTGTGTATATAGAGTTTAAGTCTCTGAACCATCCAGTGAATTGTTCAGTTGTTTATGTCCGGCTGACTGGCGTGGCTCAGCTGATCCAACCTGACGACACGTCAACAGACTGGCAAGTAGTCAGTCTGCTCCCAGCTCTAGCCCTGACAACTGATCGTATATTGGCTCTTACGGTGTACAGTTGAATGGTTTTGAGAATTGGACTCTAGAGCTGACTCACTTTGTTCCTCATTACTTTGAAAGACTCTTTTGATATTTATATTCTCGGTCAGTTCAGTAATCCATAGATACTTTACGGCCAGATTCAAAGGTCTTGCTAAATCTTGTACCTTTTGTATTTTGAGTCTACAGTCTTGTTAAGAAAGAGACGTAAATATTAATGAGGACTTAGATACAGGAAGAATAATTACACTTCCTTATTAATATGACATTTCCATGATTTGGAACTGATTGTATATGGTAATTTTATTGTACAAAGTATTTAGTTAAATTAACTACAAAGAGAAGATAAAGTATTGTATTTAAATACTTTAATAAATTTGAATATTATTCTATGGAGTTTCCCAGTTGAAATTATTTCCCCTAGACTCTAACTTACCTATAACTCGGATCCAAAAATCTTGTTGCATAAGAAATAAATGGTAACATGCCACATTCTGAAGTCCTTTAAAAAATTTCTTATTCACAACAGTACTCAAAATACTTATTACTTTCCCTGACAATAATTTCCATCAATTGCTGGTCAAAGAATAATTCAAAGAATTCCAGTTCATTGGCCGTGGTTCCAAGGGGACAAGTAGGTAGAATTCCACTTTGAGAGTCATCAAAGTGGTGAGGCTTGGGAACAAAATTGGGATTTTGCTGCCAATCCCACATACGGTTTGCTGGTGGATACTGGACATCATAGGCTGGTTGTGCGGGTGGTTGTGGTTGTGGTGGGCTGGTGGCTGGCGCTCCGCTTTGTCCTTGAACTGACGAGTCAGCAGCGTGGGTCCCAGCGTGGCCTGGTGAGTCACGCATGGCGGTGCCACTACCACCGCCACTACCATCACCACTAACACCATCCACTGATGCCTGTGGTCTATCCATGCCAAGTGTAGCCACATCATCCTCACTATCACTACTTAAAACTGGTGTTGGGCCATGGGATGTACTCCGTCCCCTGGGCACAGCATAGGGTACACTACCCGAGCGCATGCGGCGGCGAACATACCGACGCTTCACTGGTGAATATGATTCCTCACTATCACTACTCGAATGATCGTCGAGCACAATAAAATCACAGTCAACGTCACTATCATCATCATTACTGAAGTCAAAGGCCTGGCCACGCGAAAATATTAGTTTTCTCTTGCGATGAGGAACAACCGACCGTGAGTCACGATGCCCACACCAGAGGTAGAAGGTTGAGGATCGTCTATTATCACTATTCTCGATATCCTGGTCATTCTTTTCAGTCACTAACTGATCAAAGCCGTAGAATTCGTCTTCATTTCCACTTCCATCAGTGTCAGAACTATCAGATAGGAAGAGGAGAGTCACAATTTTCTGGGGAGTGAGAGCTGACTTGCGACGAGGCATGGTGAACAAGGGTAACTGAGCCGGCGTTCCCACAATGCTATGCGGGCGCCTAGATTTTTTGTTTATGGCGCACACCCAACACGCAGACCCGTTCTCTCACATGTAGGCCTATGAGCGTTTTCGTGCTAAATTTGACGGCGCTAGAATTTTGGCGTAGATCTACGGTTTGGACACTCAACGTAAAGCCGTTGATCTACGGGACGGACCCTGAAAGGGTTAAGTGGCTTTTGAGAAGAGTTTTAAATTGATTTTCGTACCAGGTTACTTTAGTATCTTGTGGTAATGAATTCCAAATTCTGGGGCCCTCTATGTGCATAGAGTTTTTACACAGTGTTATATGGACACGAGGTATATCAAAAAGAGATCTGTGTCTTGTGTTATGGTCATGTGTCCTGCTAAGGTTGGTGAGGAGAAGTTTGAGTGGAGGGTTTATATTTGCGTGTATTGTTCTGTGTATGTAGTAGACACGTGAATAAGTATGGATGTTCTTACTGGTGAGCAGATTCAGACTTTTGAAAATTGGTGGAGTATGCTGGCAGGAGTGGGAATTTGTTATCATTCTGACTGCTGCCTTTTGCTGGGTAATAAATTAGAGGTCTTAGGTGATTGAATGTTGCTGATCCCCATGCACAAATTCCATAGGTGAGGTAAGGGTATATGAGTGAATGGTACAGTGCCAGGAGAGCTGATTGTGGAACGTAGTACCTTATCTTTGATAGTATGCCTACAGTCTTAGAGATATTCTTGGTGATTTGTTGTATGTGTGTCTGGAACTTAAGGCTACTGTCAAGGTGGCTACCTAGGAATTTTCCCTCTGTAAGTCTTGTGACTGATGATCCATTTAGCATTATGTTAATTGGATGATTTGCAGCTTTGTTTCCATACTGAATGAAATATGTTTTATCAGTATTCAGAGTAAGTTTATTGGGTAAGTTTATTATCCAGGCAGATATTTTCTGCAATTCGGCATTGACAGTGTTTGCTAGTATGACTGGGTTTGGGTGGGAGAAGACGTATGTTGTGTCATCTGCAAATAATATGGGTTTGAGTAGCTGTGATGCATTCGGTAGATCATTGATGTAGATGAGAAAGAGGAATGGTCCAAGGACACTTCCTTGTGGGACTCCTACTGTGATTGGTTGGGTGGAAGAGTTTGCACCATTTGCATACATATATTGAATTCTGTTACTAAGGTATGACTTTAGGTAGTTGAGGGAGTGGCCTCTGATACCATAGTGCGTTAATTTGGAGTACAGCAGTTTGTGGTCGACTGTATCAAAAGCTTTACGTAAATCAATGAAAATGCCCAGCGGGGCTTCTTTCTTTTCGAGTGCGGTATATATTAGTTCTAGCATGTGTATGATAGCATCATTTGTGCTTTTATTATTCCTGAATCCAAACTGACAAGGGTTTAATAAATAACAAAAAGGCACAATACCGTGACTGGAACGATACACAAATAACCCGCACATAAAAGAGAGAAGCTTACGACGACGTTTCGGTCCGACTTGGACCATTGACAAAGTCACACTAGTGTGACTTTGTCAATGGTCCAAGTCGGACCAAGTCGGACGTTTCGGTCCAACTTGGACCATTGACAAAGTCACACTAGTGTGACTTTGTCAATGGTCCAAGTCGGACCGAAACGTCGTCATAAGCTTCTCTCTTTTATGTGCGGGTTATTTGTGTAAGAGTTTAATATGTTGTGTGAGACGAGGTAGGGATAGATCCGTCTATGAATTAGTTTTTCAAAGATTTCAGAGAGCAGTGGTAAGTTAGATATTGGTCTATAGTTATTCAAGTCAGCTTGGTCACCTCCTCTATGGATTGGAGTGACCCTCGCTATTTTGAGGATTGTTGGGAAGGTAGATGATTCAATGGATTTGTTAAAGAGTATTGCAATAATTGGTGACAATACTTGAGAAGCTTTTTTGTACATTAAAGCAGACAAGTTGTTTATGTCTCCTGCCTTGTATTTAAGGGTGTTGATGATGAGCGAGACTTCTAATGGGTTGGTTGGAGCTAGGAATAGCGTATTTGGGTAGGTACCTATGAGTTAGTCTGATGGACGGGTGTTTGAGCTTGGTATTTTGTTCGCTAGAATTTTTCCTATGGTGGAGAAGAAAACATTGAGTCTGTTTGCTGTTTCAGTTGGTGTGAGTAGGGGTTCGTCTGATTTTGTTAGTTTGATTGTTTTGTTTTTGGATAACTTTTTAGTTCCAAGAATTTCAGATAGTTTTTTCCAGGTTTTTTTCGTATCACCTTTGATGTTATGTGATCTATTTTCATAATACAATTTTTTAGATCTTCTTATCAGGCTGGTAAGTGCTGATGAGTAACATTTAGACTGTTCTCTAGTTATTTGACCCATTTTGTATTGTTTTTCATATTTGTGCTTTGTGTTAATGGATTTGAGGATGATGGGTGTTAGCCAGGGACTATTCAGTCTCTTTGCTGTTGATCTGTTTAGTTTTTTGGGGGCAATGTTTGTTGCAGTTAGCCAGCCAGCCAGCCAGCCAGTTAGCCAGCCAGCTAGCCAGTTAGCCAGCCAGCCAGTTAACCAGCCAGCTAGCCAGTTAGCCAGCCAGCCAGCCAGTTAGCCAGCCAGCCAGCCAGCCAGTTAGGCAGCCAGCCAGTTAGCCAGCCAGTTAGCCAGCCAGCCAGTCAGTTAGCCAGCCAGCCAGTCAGTTAGCCAGCCAGCCAGCCACCCAGCCAGCCAGCCACCCAGCCAGCCAGGCAGCCACCCAGCCAGCCAGCCACCCAGCCAGCCAGCCACCCAGCCAGCCAGTTAGCCAGCCACCCAGCCAGTTAGCCAGCCAGCCAGCCAGCCAGCCAGCCAGCCAGCCAGTCAGTTAGCCAGCCAGCCACCCAGCCAGCCAGGCAGCCACCCAGCCAGGCAGCCAGCCACCCAGTCAGCCACCCACCCACCCACCCACCCAGGCAGGCAGGCAGCCAGGCAGGCAGTCAGCCAGCCAGCAAGGCAGCCAGCCAGCAAGGCAGCCAGGCAGGCAGCCAGCCAGGCAGGCAGCCAGCCAGCCAGCCAGCCAGCCAGCCAGCCAGCCAGGCAGCCAGCCAGCCAGCCAGCCAGCCAGGCAGCCAGCCAGCCAGCAAGGCAGCCAGCCAGGCAGCAGGCAGGCAGCCAGGCAGGCAGCCAAACAGGCAGCCAGCCAGCCAGCCAGCCAGGCAGCCAGCCAGCCAGGCAGCCAGCCAGGC